GGGCCCAACCGGGAATTGAACCCGGGACCTCTGCCACCCGAAGGCAATATCATACGACTAGACTATTGGGCCGATGAAATCGAAAAAACAGCGCTTAAAGTTGTAGTTTGAGGTGTGCGCGTAATATTAAACGAAAAGGAAAAAACGCTGGGACAAGGAAACATTTGAATGACAAGGAAAGTGCTTTTTGTTTTTAGTCGAACAACAGACAGCGAAAGAAAGGGACTTTTTAATATGGAATTACTGAAAGCAATTTTAATTGGATTTTAGTTCTCGTGGTCGTGTCATAAGGGTAAGGAAAGAATAAATGAAACGCATTGCATCATGCCGTGAAACTTGATGTAAGCCTTGTGTACAACTTTGGTGTATCAAAAGATGTGAGGGCTATCTCCCCGCCAGCTCACGCCAGAGTATTTGCAAACGAGGTGACTCGTTAATATGGAAGAATTTCCAGAAGGACGGAAAAGAATTAAAGGAAATACAGATATATACAAAATGATAAAGAAAAGCCTTCTACGGAATTCACAGCTATTAACCAGAAAAAAAGGAAAGACTTCTACGGAATACACAGCTAGTGACAAAGAACTTCTAGGGAAATACTGCAATTAAAACTTAAGAGGTAGCAATTTGAATCAACAATCCAAATACCTCCAACACCCAACATCTTGTGCTATCCACCATCACAAATCGAAACTAACCAGACGCGGACCGAACAGGACCTCGAATAGGCGCTTTGATCTTGAACATGATAATTTCAAGGGTTTGCTTCTCTACCCTTCCAGGAGCATCATAATCAGTTCGGCACTTTCTAGTTTTTTCCACTTCTTCACCTTGAAGGACCTCGACATTCTTTAACAGCCGTGCAAATGCTTTTTCCTCTTTGTAACCATAATCCCACAACTTCATTGTCGCGATGATCAGCGTATATGCAACAACAACAACAACAGACAAACAGTTACCGGGTTGCCTGTTCAGTAAAAGCTTTTTGTTGAACATGGCAATCAGCATCATTTCCTGAAGGTCCACGTCATGTTGATTGGCGGGTTTATCAATACGGGGCCTAAAGTTGCGACGTAAAACATACACATTCGAATCTTCCAATACATCCTCCATTCCCTGTCCCTTTATTTGATCCAAACGGCCAAAAAGTCCGGTGGTCCGCTCCGACAAGTCGTCCATATGTCGCCCAAGTGGTGTGACAGCAACAGCCTGCCCAACATAACTCGGAACTATCAAGTCATCCATGCCAATGCTCTTACTGCGAAGTCGCGTCTCCACTAGCTCGCGAATTTTGGCGATTTGAATGGGATAATACTCTTGCGATTCAAAAGCCTCCGCAATCCTCAAAAACTCTCCAACTTTCATAGGATAATCCCTTATGTAAACCCATGCTCTATTCTGATAACTGACATCGTTGGCAAGTGTTGCTAAAGTAAGTCCCAAGGCACTCAACATGTCCTCGGGGGGTACGAAAATGTGCTCGCGATGGAGGCGGGAGAAGGTGTTACAATGCTCGTGAGTGTTGTTGGAATTCGGTAGCAGGATACTAGTAAATGTGGAAGGGTTTCAATCAAGTTAAAGTGTTAGAAGTCCAAAAGTTAACTCTATTCAACAATCGTAAAATGAAAGTGCATGTGAATTAAAAAGATTGTTGTTTGCTTACTGTGCAGACGTCTTGCTAACACTGTTAACATCCAGCAACGCCTCTCGCATCCTAGTCTTGATGGCATTAAATACTTCTTTCAGAGTTTGCTGCTGATTATGCAAAAGTCCGTCATCAGGTTCAAGAACAGTCTGATTCAAGTGGAGCGGAACCCTCCCTTTCACCTCGAGCATTTGAAGTGGGTGGTGGTTGAATTGGTGAAGAAAAGATTTCATCAAGGCCACGCCGTTTGCGAGGAGAAGAATGTAGAACTGCAGTTGGTGTTGTTGCTTGCGTTCGACTCATGGCAATCTGCTGTATACGATCATCATTGCTATCGGTGTCAGAGTAATCTCCCGATTGCAGATTCTCTCGTCCTCTTTTACCAGTTCCCGATTGCAGATTCTCTCGTCCTCTTTTACCAGTTTGGCGGGGAGGTGTAAATACGGTACTGAACGTATTGCCAGACGCTTGAATGCGGGCCCCTGTTGCTGTTGTTGAGTTTGGCTGGGTTGTTGTTGGTCACTCTCATCGACATCCATGTTGGTGCGTGGGACGTTTTCGGTAATTTTGGTTGCTGAAATGGTAGACGAGAGGAATGACAGATGAAAAGAGAGGGAAAGAAGAAATAGGGACTAATTTCCCGTGGCCGTTTTTCTCCACTCCATCCATGGAGAAACACACTTAGTGTTGCATGAGCGGGAGACAGTTGAAGTTGACATCATTCCATTGTCATCCTGCAATGTCGTTGACTTCTAAACCCCAGCCTTTACTAAGACCACGCTCGGACGTTTGGTGAAATGTGCTGTTAATATGCTATACTTCAAACATGACAGAAAACGATTCCGCAGATTCCCTTGTTCATAAAAAAAATATTTTCAATAAACACCACTTGTGCCTAATATCTTGATATCCAACGACAAAATCCCATTCTTCACATTTCCAGCTACTTTCGTATCTCACGCAATGTGTAGCTAGGTGCTCGCGATACAGCAGGGCCCGCCTTGTGATCAGTTTCTCCACCCCGACTATCCTCACCATACCGTGGCTCAAATACACTATGGCGACCCACGGCTTCAAATGTGTTTTGTGATACATGCACTGTTCCTGGAAGAGCTGTCTGCTCTAACTCTGTTGCCAATTCAATAGAGTCTCCAACAATGTCATACTTTAGCTTTGTGGTTCCGCCAATAACAGCGCAGTAGACCGTCCCTGAAAATACTCCAATTCGAGCTTGTATAGGACTTTTGAGTCCACCTCGGGCAGCAACCTGAACAGGTGAATTTGGATCAATATCAACTGTGAGACGACGATGCACGTTGAATCGCGAAATGGCAGCCTGAATTTTCAGAGCAACTCGGCACATTGAAATTGATGGATTCTTTAATGGAAAGGGTAGGCCAGCCACCGCAATATACGCGTCACCAATAGTGCATATCTTGACAGAGTCTCGTATTAGATGCTACAGCTAAGAGTAGTAACTGACAATAAGGCATACCTTTTCCACAGATTCGACAACACATGCTTCATCAAAGTCCAGATATAACTCATTCAACTACAAAAGATATCAAAGCCATTGTTAAATATAATCGATTAGAGAAGATTAGCAGACCATTGAGAAAACACGAACCATGGACACAACTTGAGCCGGCGTGAGACCGGAAGAGATATTTGTAAAGGAAACCACATCAAGGGCAAGAACCGCAGCATCCGTAGAGCATTGAACCAGACCTGCTGTTTCATTTTTCGTCAAGACATCAATAACACGCTCATTGAATATCGACCGCAATATCAGCGATGATTTTCCAGCCTCTTCACGACATAGACTTCGTGCACTGGACGCCTGAATCTCCATGAGAAAGCTTTCTCGCCGCCATTTTTCTTGTCTGTGTGTGTAGTTATAAGTTTCAAACGGTTGGTTTTTTATTTATCCTCGGAAAACGTTCACTCACCGGTGGGCTGTGAAAACCGACGCCAACATACTCAGCAAGTATATAAGATAAAATACCATTCGATTTTCAATGGCAATTTGCGACAATACAAACAGCGCAAATATGAATGGAATGCTGATGCCAGGAAACACTATCCAATGGAATAAACTACCATGTAAACGGCACAAAACAAATATGAGCACCACATTCATGACATGTTGAAAACTAAGTTCCAGCGTTCTATGTATATAGAAAACTAAGACGTTAATAACATTGTTACGCCTGAAATATGCATAAAAAATTGCTTACCCAAAGATAATGTGCGTCATCGCAAAGACAAGTGATATAAGGATTGCTAATAATACAAGAGCCACGTACGTTCTCACAAGAACTGGGAGTGTTGTTCGGTGGCTTTTGGCGCAATTCGTCTGCCTCCGCGTTTGTGGGAGCGAAACCTTTTCGTTTCAAAATACACCCAATACCAAATAATGATCTGTCCAAAAAATCCAAGTACGAGGAGGACAAGCTGGTAATTATGCGGGCTGCCAGTTTGAATTTGATCTATGCCCGAATAAGCCCATGCCAAGGATGACACGATTAAATCACCAATTTGCCAAAATATTAACCAAAAAATGGTGCTGTGAAGCGCGCTGATGTTGTGTTGCCCCAAAACAATATTCAACCGGTATGACAGCTCGATTGTGTCATTCTTGTAAGTCAAACTCCAGGTGTTGATCATCTTTGTCAAAGTGTCGTCGTCGGTGTTAAAAGCGACAATGTGGCGAGATATGTATTCTCGGAGGTTATAAAGACAATTACGCCGTTGTGGGGGACTTCCTTGCTTTCTTTCTTCTGCATCTAGGGTTTTGCTCGCTGCTAAGTGAACAAACTCATCCATGAGATGTTCAAGTTCCACCATATCAGGTTTCATTCGAATGAGATCCCCATCTTGCACTCCCCCGTCGTTGATGGAAACTAAGCTGTGCATTGATTTCTTCCAATTGCTGGGTTTTTCCGATTCCACATCATTTTTGCTTTGAGGTTGCGCGACCGGCAAGTCCTTCATGGATAATCTGCCAGCTATAGACTCTTTTATCGACTCGACATCGCGTTCGCTGTTTTGGTAAGACTCTTCATTCATTCTATCCGATTTAACAGTCGACCCATAGTCTCGTTCAAACTTTACAGTTGAGCCATGCTCGTTTTTGTCTGCAAATCGCAGTCCGTCGGGATGCCGACCTTTCTTTAATATTGACCGAACTCGCGGGACACCAAGCTTTGGCACGTCTTCAATAGCGGCGATTTTCGTGTCGTTGTTTTCAGCAGGTTTGTTTGTTGCGATGACAGCTTTCAACAGTGGAAGATGATTTTCGTGACCATGGTATTCCACAGTTAAATGTTTAGAAATAGTTCCTGACGAACCAACAGTAGAACGTGGGAGGTCTTCAACTGGGTATTGACTGTAGCACCAAACCGCTACCAGACCCTTTCCTTTGACG